GAGGGTGGCTCAGTGGAATAAGCGCTTCCCTGGCAAGCGCAAGAACCTGAGTTCAATCCCCAGTTCCGCAAAAAAAAAAAAAAAAAAAAAAAAATTCAGCTGTTATAATGATCAGTACTTTTAAATTTCAGAAAAAAAGTAGCTACTGATGGATAGTAACTGCAACACACAAGTAGACACAGCAGGAATAAGGCCATTTATCCAACTTTAATAACACAGCAGGCCATCTGTACATTTCACGTACATAATTTTACTAAAATGGCACAAAGTTCTCACGGTTATATTTCTTTAAAGCTTCCCCCCCAACCCGTATCAAAATAGTTATCTTTTTAAAATACCTTGTAAAAGTTTAATAGCTTTTTTGTTATATATTAAATACTTTCCTAAAATAGCAACCATTTCTTCTCCATTTCTTCTAGAACCTTGTCTTAATCATAACTATCACTTTTATGTTTTTTTGTTTTGGCATCTTTTACATTTATGCACAGAAGCATTAAAAGGGAAATATTTCCCTTGTAAGCCCACTATTTAAAAACAAAGAAAGAAAAAAGAGAAGCCAGTGACAATACATGACACAGGATTCTTACAGTACAGGCACTCAGACTATGACGTTATTTAAACAAAATAATCCCTTCTTGCCTCAAACTGGTACTGTTGGCCCAACGTTGCCCTCTGGTGGCGAGGCTATATCAAAGCACCCAACAATACAATAGGGTACGTACAGTATTTGGACATTGTTACTGGGACATGAGGCGCTCAGAGTCCAGTTAAAGAGATCAACAATCTTTTTTTCTTTCACAGATTGTAGGACAACTGGCTTCCTGAAAATTCACTCTGAACACAGACCGCCCACAGCCACTCAGTGCAAAGTCCCAGCCCCTTAGCTTCCTTCACACAGTACCGCGATGCCCCATCAGAAGCTGGACTCGGGTAAGGTTTTCTTTCGCCCTAAGGACAGAGTGTGGTATTTTACCCTCTGCAAGGTGCCATAAGAAGTCTGCTCCCCAGGCACGCTCTTCTGGGAGAAGCTGGCGGCACTGGGCCGTGGGGGCCTGCCGGCCTTGCGAGGGAGGTGGAGAGAGCTGGGAGCGGATCGGACGTCCCTTTCGAGGTGGCTGCCCAGGCTCCTGGCCAGGCCTTCTGGAATCCGGAGTGCAGGAGATGAGCCTGGAGCCTGCTCGTCCACCGCAGGGCTCAGCCTGCCACTACGCTGGGAGACAGATGGCAGGAGGCCCAGGGTCCTGTCTATCTTCCCATTCTCCTTCTTCCGAAACACAGACCTCAGCAGGGTGAGGGTCCCCTGTGGGAGTCTGTCTTTCTCAGAGGCCCTTTCATCCATGTCAGCCCTCATCTTGGGTAAGGTGCCTTGGCCACTGTCCTGACAGTTTCTGAACAAACCTGTGGAAGGGGACGGTGGGCCGCTCTGGCTTCCCTTCCAGCCTGCGTTCTTCTGGCCCTCTGGGCGGGCCGGCTTCTCCCTCTCAAGGTTGGACATCACAGTGAGGGGCAGGTCAAACTTCTTGGGAAGCCGGATATCCTGACTTGCATTTTCCTTCCATGCCCTGGTTGTGTTTAGAACATCACTGGCCGGGTGGTGACTGGGGTAGCCCGAGAGACAGGGAACCCTTGCTGGTCCTCTCCCATTAGCTTGGCCACCATCTTCACCAGAAAGGGTGCCGTTTGGCTTGGGAGACGCTGACTTCTCCTCCCCACCTGCCGTGCCTGTCAGCAGGGACACAATGGAGTGACTGGTGGAGCGACGGGGCCTGCGTCTGGACTCTAGGTACTCCACCAACTCCACAGATGCACCAGGCTGCTTCTCCCTGTGCCCAAAGGACCACCGGAGGGGCATGGTCTTGAAGGGCCCTTGCCTGGCTCGGGATGTGGTGGGCGCCTTCATGCTGATGCTTCTGCCGTGGCCACCCCGAACCAAAGGCCTGGACTCCAGCCCTCCTGAAAGAGACAACAAGATCATTAGCACACCCAGAATGCCCCCCAGCGGCAACAGGAGAAACTGCGGCACCGGCCAGCGAGCAAGCACTCACTGAGCACTAGAGATAGCAGACTTGGGCTGTGCGTCTACTGCCGAAAAGATGCCCTGAGCTCCTGCCCTGGGGACTGTCTCACTCACTGGCCCAAGCTCCACTCACACAGGGACCAACGCCAAGAAGGTACAGGTACCTCTTGGCCTTCATGGGGGACTGGGCCCAGGACCTACTGCCTACCAATGTTCTGATCCTGTAATACCTCAACTCCTTCATATAAAATAGTATTTGCATACGATTTGGGTATTTGCATAGAGCCCTTGTAGTATACATTGAGTCATTTCTAGATTACTTCTAGAGTAATGGCAAGAAAAAAGGAGTTTGTACAGATGAAGTTTTTGCAAAAAATACTTTTGACCAGTATCTAGTTGAATCTGACAGTGTAGAACCCATGGACACAGACAGCTGTCTGCACCTACATGCCCAGCAGTACAGGGCACTGGCAAAGCTCTGAGCAGAGGGGACTAACCTAAAATTTAACATCAGCCATCTTTCCTTTTTCTTATTGAGGGGTTAGGAGGTGCTACTAGGAATTGAACCTAGGAAGCACTGCTCTATACCCCAGTCCTTTTTCTTTATTTTGAGGCAGGGTCTCAGTAAGTTGCTCAAGCAGGCTCTAAACTTTCGATCTCCTCGCTCGGCTTCCTGAGTAGCTAGGACTGTAGGTATTTGCCACTACACTCAGCTTCACCCATCTTTAGATATGCCCATGCACCAGAATGCTAAGCAAAAGTCTCTGCTTTTCCAAATCAAATTAGGACCTTTTATTTTCAAATGCAAGTTCTCCCACCATAAGCTAAAAAGAACTATGTTTAATTCCATCAGAGCTGCCCATATGCCTTCATTGTGATTTGCAATACTATTAATAGCCGGGAAGATGTTTTTTCATATATAGTGTTAAGTGAGAAATAAAGAGTTTTAAAAAAATAGTATAAGCCAAGTGGCAAAAATATACACACGTGTCCGTATTATGTGTGCAGTTGGAAACGCATGAGCAAGGGTAGAGAACTTGACACCAACACGAAAGGTACGTGGGGCGCTGCGTACTGCTGTTTCCATTTTAGTTCTTCCCCCTATCTCAACATTTCTGAAGAGGACATACATACAACCAACACTGCCTATTTTTCCTTAGAAAGTCCCACTCCCCATCACAGCACTGTCACAGTCTTGGATTACATATGCCCACATTAAGAAAGAAATCTCTCAGTGAAACCCACAAGTTGCATGGCACAAGGACAGCCACATGCACTTGGAGCGAGGCGGCTGGTCAACCACCCACTCCCGTCACCCACAGTGGGCCCCTATCAGGAGGCTCTTTCATCATGAAATATGAGGTTATGGACTGATGGTTGTGTTCCCTTTAATTCTCATGTGGAAACTCAAATCCCCAAGGAATGGCAGAAGGAAGTGAGGGCCTTAGGAAGGTGATTAGCCTGTGAAGGTGGATTCCTCAAAATAGGGAAGGAAAAAAAAAAACACAAAAACCTAGATCTCTTTCTTTTAGGGTAGACACAACAGGAAGCTGTCTGCATCCTAGAAAATCCCTACCCTTAACTTGACCACTCTGGCGCCTGATCTTAGCTGTCCAGAGCCCCAAGGTACAGATTGATGCTGCTGATAAGCTACCTAATCCATGGCAATCTAAATGGGCTGCGATGGAGAGTAACTCTAAGAATAGTGAAGACTGCTGCCCCTAAAAGCCCTCTGGGTAGCACAGCCAACTCCACACACTATGTGAAGGGGACCTGAGACTTTCAGCTGCACAGGTGGGAACCCAGGAGAACCAAGGGACCACAGCACATGCTGGGAGAAGAAGTATACTGCACAACAGTCAAGTACCCTGAAAAGAAATGACCCGCCGGGGAAGGAGGAGATCGTTGTTCCTGGCCACAGGCTGTGAAAGCATCTCTGAGGCTCCACAAGGATTTTAGCTTTCAGGTTTCACAGATAATTTCTGATGCTTTTTTCTCTTTAAAGCATTTCTGTAGATTAGCCAGGAATAGACACAATGTCACCCCAAATACTCTTGTTGTCTCAGTTGGGCTTGACCTTGTTGCTCTACCATTAAATTCCCGTATCACAGATAAAACACCATTCTGGAGTCTGAGACGTGTGTGAAGCTCTCCCTTTTCCAGTCCTCGGCCCCAGGAAGGGCAGAAAGGGGAGCTTTGTATTGGGAGGACAAAGCTGTGACTTCTCGCCTTTCATGACGTGAGGACACCATCTGGAGCCGTGGCAGGTGGCAGGAGGACCTGGCAGCTCCCTAAATAGCGTCGTTCCTTTCTTCATGGTATGAAAGGCCCGAGGCCAGGGATGACATCAATGCCTGTGCCATAGCGCAGGAGCCAGAGATACTCATGGAACCGCTTCTCCTCTTTCTCGAGGTAGGTGAGAAGCGCCCTGCCTTCATCTTCTTTCGCTCTGTCCATCACACTATTGTAACAGGATGCAGGGGGTGACGTAACATTGGGAATCTGCAGAACGATGGGAGGCAATGAGGACGCACCCCCGCTGATGCTGCATCACAGTCTACCACGTTCCCCAGGTGGACACAAGACCGGAAGTCCTGCCCCTGGGGCGAAGGACCTCCTAGAGTTCTGGGTGGGAGAGGGAAGGGTAGTGTTCTAGGAGGCCTAGGCACTAACTCAGAGTCCCCTGCACCCCCGCATCCCCTACTAGTCTGGTCTGAGAACTAGGTGGCCCAAGCTGCAGTACGGATGCAAACAGTGGCATCTTCCTGAAATTTATACAAGCCCCGCAGTGTATATAAGGAGCTTCCCAGGACCCGCCAGTGCCCCCTGCGTGGCCGACATGCACCCAGTAACCCTGAAGCCAGCACACACTGCTCCAAAAGACACTACCTCTGTTGCTGCCCATGTGTAGCCACCCTGATTCCCAGGCATCTTTGGTCCTTAGCTAGTAAATGCGGGGCCGCTGTGACTTCATGTTGCATGATGTGAGTGGTAAGCCTAGGGACCTCTTTTCCCTACCCCTAACCCATCTGCAACAGATTAAGCGCTTTTGTTTTTTTTCTAATGGATTCCACCCAGTGATTCATTCAAAAAATATTGAACAAGAGCCTACTGTGTACCAGGGGCTGTTTTCATTGCTTTAGATGCAGCTAAGGAAACAAAGATAAGGTGCTCATCCTTATGGGATTTGACTGAAGCAAAGTATGTATCACATCCTGTGTGACAAGTTCTACAACAATGAATGAGGCAGAGGGAGGGGAAGTGGGGGCCACGGGAGGGATGAGGGAGAAGAGGGCATTTGGAATTGGAGAAGGGGCAGTCAGTGCAAAGGCCCTGCAGCAGCAGCAAAGCTGTGGGCCCAGAAGGCAGCAAAAGACAAGCCTGGGGCTAGAACCAAAGAGAGGGCCACACACTAGGGGGCCTCCTCTTCTGGGCTCAGATCTGTATTCGGAGAGCTCTCTGGCTCTGGCTCTCAGGGTCAGAAGCAATTATAGATCCTTTCTGTCCCTAGGCTGGTGGCTTGGTTTTGTTTTGCTGTCTCCTATGGTCTTTATGGTTTCCTCACAGTGTGGTGACCATTTCCACCTGCAATGCAGTGTACAGCTGAGGGCAAGCCCAACCCCCACACTGCCCTCCACTCCTCTGGAAGCTAAGGCAGAGCCATACACAAGCTGGGGCTTTCCACCTCCAGGCCTGAGCTCCAACTTGAGGCTGGGGACGACAGAGGCCGGTGGTCAGGAGCCAAAGCCCCTGCCGTCTCCCTGGGAATCAGCAACACTCCAGAAAGGGCAGAGCAGAGCCCCAGTTAGAAACAGAAACACTACATGTAAAGGGGTCCAGGAGTCAGAAAGCAAGAAACAAACAGGACCATGAAGACAGGCTCATAATGAAACTGAGCCACCAGGGGAAACAGGTGACAGCTTTAAATAACCCATTAACTGCAATCTCCAGGAGACTCCAGCATAGCACATTGGGGATTGGAAAACATTGCCTTCAGGATGTGAAATGCAATAAATGACCTGAAGGCTTAAGATCGCTGTTGAGACTCACATGAGAGGCCTGAAAGAGCAGGCCATCTCTCACATAATATAGCAAAATTAGACACGGAAACCACAGAGAAATGGCTGCAGATGGAGAAGACGGACGCAGGAGAGCCAACAGACAAATCAGAAGGATCTAAAAAGTAAGAGAGACAACAATTGAAAAACCAAAAGAATATTTTCCTCAAGGAAGGCCTCAGTCTGTAAGCAAAAGGAATCCCCAAGTCCAAGGTAGAGCTGATGCGAGGGAACACACACCCAAGGTGTTCACCTGATAGCATCTCTGAATACAAAGGCCAAAGAGAATCTCAAAAGCTTCCAGAAAAGAAAGTTAGACTCCTGTGAAAAGGAACAGCCTAGGCTTCTCACCTGCCGCCCTGGGCGCAAGCAGGCTGTGGGAAAATAGCTAGAGCTGCCTGAGAGAAAAGGAACCAAGCCCAGAATCCTGGAGCCCTGCCACTCCCAGCTGCAAGGGGCTATGAAAGGGTGTAGGCAGCACAGCACATGTGCCCCAAAGAGGTTCTGATCCAGCACTGTGGAGCAGAGCCCCAACCTCGACACAAACAGGAACAAAAAGGGAGGAAATCCAGCACACCGCAGCAGACGCTACGCTCTATGAACAACTCATTCTGGGCGAGGGACACCAGACAGCTCAGAATGTCACTCTAGGTTAAAGCAGGGTGGGACAGAAATTCTAATAACAGCCTCGACCAGAAAGGATGAGATTTTTCTCAGCAAAACCTAACAGTTGGGAGGTGGGGAGAAACTTCCCCAAACAGACCAGGAGCGCATGAAAGCATTTTGAAGCTCTTGTTTTGGACAGAATGGCAGGGAACAGAGTGACAACAGAAATATTATATAGGTTTTTATATTACTGAAGAGAAGGTAGGGATGAG